CACGAGAAAATCAGCCTCCTCACTCTAGTAGCAGGTTATGCTTATTTTTAAAAAATGACGTCCTTGAGGTACAGCAGGTATCCCTGGAAAGGTGTGACATTTTTATCTGAAATGGACACTCTGGAATTAGCTAACTATGTCTCCACCATGTGATACAGGAGGAAAGTCTTCTTACCCATTCATGATGATGAATAATGAATTCTCTAGAAGGTTGAGCTCCAAGGGCTTGGTGCCATCTGAGTTGTCATGAAGACATTGTAGACCATTAAGAGACCCGGGAGGGGCACTGTCAAGCCCAGCACTGTCCCACAGACATATAAGATGAACCACAAATACATGTCATGTATGGGATTTAAAATTTTCTTGTGACCACATGAAACATTTTTTGTAAGTGAAATTAATTTAATAATATCCCTGATTTAACCTGATGTATCCAAAGTGTCATCATCTCCATGTTTAATCAATATACAAAATTATTGAGTTGTTTTACTTTTTTTTTTTTTTGGTCTTATATGTTTGAAATCCCATATGTGCTTGCGAGCACAGCTCAGTTGGGGCTGGCTTTTTTTTTTTTTTAAGAGTTAATTTATTTATTAATGAGAGACAGAGAGAGAGAGAGAGAGAACGAGAGTGAGAGAGGCAGAGGGAGAAGCAGGCCTCATGCAGGGAGCCCGACATGGGACTCGATCCCGGGTCTCCAGGATCAGGCCCTGGGCTGAAGGCGGCACCAAACCACTAGCCACCCGGGCTGCCCGGGCCTGGCTTTATTTCAAGTGCTGTGTGTGGCTACTTGCTACCACACATCTACTCTGCTGTTGAGAGGCCGACACGGGCTCTCAGAACGTAGAAAGGCTCCCTGTTGGATTCGCCACTCCTGTGACCTGCCTATATGTACTCTCCTTGCCCCAAAGCCGTGCTTGCTCTGGGGTCACTGACTCATGTCCTAGCTGCCATTGTTTCCTGTGGTCCGAGGGACTTAACTTTAGCCAGATTTCCTGACGCTGTGCCAGCTTTCCTCCGTGCTTCATTTCTTCCTCTTCCAGTGCTTGCATGTCACTGTGATATCATTCAAAGCTTCTAAGGGCCAGGATCCAATGGGCCCGGCCCCAAAGCAGGAAACTGGCTTTCTCATTGTTTATTTGAAACCACGAAGCAGAAAATGTCAGACACTTGTTTTCAGTGCTTCACTGAGCTGGAATCGAATTGCAACGCAACTATTCCCAACGGGGCCTTCTGACGTCGGATGATTTAGAAGTTTCACCGCTTTAGATAGAGACGACTAATTGAGGCACAAAGTAACCCTAGACTTCCCTTGCTCTGACTGTCATCACTAGCTGCCTCACCTTTTGTTTAGGATCTTGTTAGTCTATAAAATTTTGTTTGAAGCTGGGGCATCCTAATGTACTATGGGAATATTCCAGCAAGGATTCTACAAAGTCTTTCTGTGTAAAAGGTCTCCATTTAGGTCTCTGTCCCAAACCCCCTTGGGAGTCCCACAAGAGACTGTCGTGTCTGTCACCACATAGCTCTCTCCAGTGTGGTCTGGGCACAAAGGTACCGTATACTGTATGCCACCGTGGCACACGTTTGTCTGCCTGTGCAGTAGCCATTCCTCCTGCTTTCCCTGCAATATGGCAGAGCTCACCTGCTACAATAGAGGCCGACGATGCCAGATGCATGCTTTCCTAGACTCTTTTGCAGCCAGGAATGGCCATGTGACCCCGTTCTGCCAAAAAGACACAAGTCAAGGTATGTGGAGAGAGCTTCTGGGGGAAGATTTTCCTCCCCGATAAAAAGAGACATGAAAGAGTGACTCTCTTGCAACTCTGGTTGCCTCCTTCTTCCTGATGTGGTTGTGATGTTTATAACAAGGCAGCTGTTTTGGGACCATGAGGCAACGAGCCTGAGGATGGACATGAAGTCTTCTGAGGATGCTGAGAACGATGAGGAGGATAGAAAGATACTGCAACCTTGATGACCTCGTTGAGCAGCTGCAACCAAACTTGGAACAGAACTTTCTACTTTAGGAACCAAACTACTGTTGTTGTTCTATTACTTGCTACCAAAAGCATGCTGACTGGTATGGATGCCTGGTATTTAGCGGTAGGTTCTTGTCTTCTGTTTCTTAGAAGGAAGAACTCACTGAAATACTCTTCCTTCAACCTTGTTGCCCAGCTACTCTTGCTCATCCTCATCACCACACTACTCCCTTTACTCATTTATTTGTCTGTTCACCTCATAAAGTTCCTGTGAGGGCAGAGGCCATGACTGTCTGGTTCACTCTGGTAGTTCCAGTTCCCATTATGTAATAAATAGGCGTTCAATAAATATTTACCAATTAATGAACCAAGGGGGGCTATGAAGGAGGTAAAATCCTTAGAATTTGGCTATTGCCCATTGGTGAGAGAAGGAAGCTAAAAGTGGCACCCTGTTTTTGGCTTGTATAGTTGGCTAGAGGGTGCGACCTTTCCTCATAACTCAGTAACTTGAGAGCAGAGTAGTTGAAGATGAGTTTTGCCCTGGATGTGTTGAAATTGATGCTTTTGGAACAGCCTCTGTAGACAGTTGAACAGAGGGCCTGGATTGAAGCTCTAGAAAGGATTGGACAGGGAGATGTATAGCATGAGAGGAGAAGTGACTCTTCAGTGCTCCAATCTCATTGTGTGGCACCGCCATCCACCTGTTGCCCAAGTGAGGGTTCAGGAAGTCATCCTTGACACTCCCTCTCCCTCGCTTCCCACATGAACCCATCATCCAGTACTGAGGATTCCACCTTTTGTTTCCCACACCCATGAACTTCTCTCCATCCTCCTGCCCCCACTGAGTCCAAGCCAACTACCTCTCTCCTGCATTATTACAGGGTCTACTTGGTTTCCCAAATCCACTCCAATCCCTTCTACTCACTGCGGTCCAGCCACATCAGTCTTCTCTCACTTCTTGAGAGCACCAATCTCCTTGTCTCAAGGCCTGGATGCATGAGCATCCATCTGCCAAGAACACTGCTCCCTCCATCCTCCACATCCCTCTACCTGTCCAGCTCTGGTCTACTCCCCTTTAGGTATTAGCCTAAACCTCACATCCTCAGGACGGCCTTCCCTGACTACCTCCCACTCCCACCCACCTTTGTAGCCTCAGAAATTTAACTTTGTTGGAACACTACGGGGTGATTTGGCTTTTGGAGACAGGTACTGGCAAAACAACAAACAACAACACACACACAACAAAAAACAAATCTTTACAAAAACCTATTAGCAAAATTGCATTATTTAGATGAGAAATGTAACTATAGAGGGTCAGAAATGCACAAGTACAGACAAGTGCATTGTTTCCCTTAGAAGGCAAATCTACACAGGAAGTCAAATAGCTTGTGAGTAAGGCTTAGACAAGGGGCATTAGCTGCTTGAAATGATTATGTTTGCTAAACTGTGATCCCCCCAGTGTGCCCATCTCCACCACAGGTGTCCCCCCCTTGACACCTGTTTCTGGGCCACCACTCCGAGGGCAGTCACTCAACAACTCAACTCCCAGGGCTGAAGACCTCTTGCCTCTGTCTGCCACCAACGCCTAAGCTTCAGCCATTGACCAGCTCTCCCACTAGGGGTAAGCTTGCTTTAGCTGTGTTAACACCTCCCTGGTTAACACTTAGGAAGGTCGAGGTCAGGCCTGGAAGCAGTCTTTTCTTTTAGTTGCTTTCATATATGTCTGCTTTGAACACTACATGTATTGTGTAGTTCAATCTTAAGAGCTTGTGAAAGCAGACTATTATGGGCCTTAAGCCCACTTTTTTTAAAATTTTATTTATTTATTCATGAGAGACACACAGAGAGAGGCAGAGACACAGGCAGAGGGAGAAGCAGGCTCCCCACGGGGAGCCTGATGTGGGACTCGATCCCAGAATCATGCCCTGAGCCAAAGGCAGATGCAAACACGCTAACCACAGATGGAGGGAGGAGGGAGAGAGGTGCTTCAGGAGGCAGGGAGGAGCACGGCTTGGCTTCATCGTCACTGGTCACATTCTGAGAAGTAGCCCTGCCCACAATGCTGGCCACTCAGTTGTGCCCAGCCTCCGTCCTGGGGGGCGCCCAGGACCTGGACAGCTGCCTGGCGGGATATCCATCCCAGAGTGCTAGGAGCACAGCCTGAACATCGGCGACTGCCCCTTAGTGATCCCTTCTCACCCCTGAGCGAGGAGGACAGTGCGCAGTTGAGAGGAGGTCCACAGGGATAGGTCCATAATCGAGTTGAACAGGGTTTGCTCAGCTACACATCTGATGCTGTTAGCAAGTCTAGGGAAGGAATAAGGACAGCAGCACACCAAAATAGAAGCAATTGTAATCAACACAGTCTTAGGCACATGATGGTTAATATGCACCATAATATAAAAGGCATATATGACTTTTATTTATTTTTTCTAAGATTTTATTCATTTATTCATGAGAGAGAGGCAGAGACACAGGCAGAGGGCTCCCTGTGGGGAGCCCAATGCAGGACTCGATCCTAGGACTCTGGGATCACGCCCTGAGCCGAAGGCAGTCACTCAACAACTGAGTCACCTAGGTGCCTGGCATAGGTGACTTTTAAACAAATTTTACACAAAACTGAGCTGTGAGTATAACTTTATTCATATTCTTACTTGGAAAACTGTTATTACAGACAAAAGGCAAGAATACCGCTGATTCCTAAGAAAACTGACAAAATACTCACTTCATTTCAGGATAATACTCAGTAAAAAAAAAAAAAAGCTTGAAAAGTTTAATACCATTTAAATTAGACAATGTACAAGGCCTTAGACTGTTCCTATTTACATGATTGTGTGAGCACACCAGGAGAAGGTAGAGATCATTCTGGAGCTCCTTGCGAAGGCGGCCTACGTGTTAGAGGCTCTGGTTCCCTCCACCATGGCTCAGATTCCTCACTCCTGGTTATCTTTGGTTCTGCTTGCTTTTTTGTGTCCTCCCCCACCCCACCACCCCGCCCCAAACCTGACCCATCTCCCCCAGTCTTGCTTCACAAATTCCTTAACAAGGGAGATTTCCGTTCAAACAATGAACATTTAGTTTTCCCACTGGAATACACATGAATCTACACAGTTGCCCATTCAGAGTTTCAAAAGGCTTTGGTTACATGGTTGTTACATTGGAACAATGTTTGTGTCCCTGAGAAAAGGAAGAAGTGGACTTCTCCCCAAAATATTTGTAGGTTTACTTCCCTTCTTCTGCTTATTCCGGCAGCAAACTTGTCTATTTTGCACTGAGCACTGCAAACCCAAAGGGCAAGAAAAAAACCTTAGACTTCCACTATTTCTCTTTTTGAATCCTCCAAAATAGCAGATTGATACAGAATGAAGTAGAAGGTAGTGAGTAGAGCTTTCCACGGCATCCTCTGTGCATTTGTTCATAGAATGTTTATGGGACCAAAAACCTTAAAATTAATACAAAGAAAGACAGGAGAACCCTTTTACTGGTATGTCTTTTCGGGTTTCTGAGCAAGAACATTGTGAGCGTACAGAAAATAATGATTTTTTTTTTTTTTTAAGTAGGAAACTCAACAAGCTCTAAACGCCCAGAAACAATCTGACCTTCCCTTCCAGGCTTTATAAGATATAAGACATAGCCTCAAAGGAGTAGCAAATGTGGTTTCAAAGGGCCTTGGATGTTGATGACTTGGTTCTACGCATTCCAGGCATTTATAAAATCCACTTGGGTATGGAATTAAAAATAGCTATGCCGATTATTTTATAAAAATGTAACTTTTCCTTAATATCTAGGAATTGGTTAAGCCAGAAACTTGTTATTTTACCTCATTGAAAAAACAAATCCATTCTCCCAAGAAAATTATCATAAGCTTTATTTATCTAAAACATCTTTTGCAGTGTCGAAGGAAAATGACACTACAGAATAGTTTTAACTGATAAAATCCCCTTTCTCCCTCCTATAGCTGTGTCGGCCTGGAAAGAATCAACCATCTCCTGGAGGGGAGAGTGCAACACACTCAGGGCAGCATCCAGGCCCCTCTGCTGCCCAGGAGCTGGAGAATGAGCTGTGGCCACAGCTGCCAAGTGTGATTTGTATGGTTTTTTATTTTATTTATTTTTTTAATATTTTTTTTATTGGAGTTCGATTTGCCAACATATAGTATAACACCAAGTGCTCTTCCCATCAAGTGACTTGTATGGATTTTAAACGAGTCAAACTGCTTATCTGAGAATTCTGGGTTGACTAACTTCGTGGTCATGAATTCCATTCACTTAAGGCTTAGTTGGTTTGTAGAGCTTGATTTTTTTTTTCCTTTTTTGAGCTTGGTTTTTAATACTGTTAACATCATGTAGCCAACCAAACACCAAGAACACCGGTAAATAATTAGCTCTGGTCTCGTGTCTTCTTTCTGTGGGAGCTGTTTGACTTTATAACGACATGACAGTCTAGCACCAACGCCCCACCAGGGCACACCATCCTGACGTGTCTCTCACATGATTGGGGATGTTCCTGGAGTCTAAAAGAGAGCTACAGAGCGAGCCTAAGAACAGATTGCCAATGGGTTAGTATGAACATTGTCACTAGTGAAGAAACAGCAGTTTGCCAAGACCCCGGGAGTCACCTGGGGCTGTCAGTCACCCCTTGCGACCTTGGCCATGGGTGGGGGTTGCTCTCACAAAGGGCTTTCAACCATCCTTTTTTTCTTGGCTTGGAGGAAGAAGATGCGGTTTTCTTCAGGATAAGTGACTTTACTGAGGGGCATTCTGTAGATGTTGGCGTTTTTGGTGGTCAGCAAGAGGAACAGTAGTGTGGCCAAACAGAAGGGCCAGGTGCAGGCTGGCAGTCCCGCCTGAAGAGGAAGAGACAAGCCACATACTCCTCTGAGATCCTGTCACAAAGCACTAGCCCCCATCCCATTCTCACTCAGTCCAGGGGGATGCATCCTGGGGCACCAACCGGACTCTGCTTAGGCCCACTGAGTTGGAGTCCACGATCCCAGTGGGACTGCATTTAGCAGTTGAAATGTCACCATCCATTCCTTAGGGTGGTCTGGGAATGTCCACTTTGCACATCTTTCCCTCCCTCTCATACAGTCGGGTTTCTACACCACTGTGAAGATGATGCTGGGCACCCCAATAAGTTATTTCATTGGATAATGCCAACTCGGCATTAGGTCCTAAACTAGGTAATTACCTTACATATTTACGTCTCATGGCCATTTGATGAAATTGGCATTATGTCTGCAAAAGCTGAGGAAATTGTCTTAGGGAGGCTGCATAATAATCCAAGTTTCTGGGTAAATAAGTGGTAATGTGAAGACTGGAAACCAAGTCAACCCAAGTTCAAAGCATGCATCTTTCCCAACAAGATGAAGTTCTGTCTCAGGAACCCCCTTGTCTGGAACCACATGCAAACTGAAGTGTGCATTGGAATATAGACAGAGCTGCCTACTTAGGAAGCCACCAGTGGCCCCTGACCCCTCCTCACACCCACAGGGCCCTCTTTGCTTAGTTTGGCCCATGGTGACCTCTCTCCTGATCTCCACCCAGACTCATCTTGGACTCTCCTGGTTTTCCTCCCTTTCTTCTGGCTCCCAAACAGACTCTAAGCTCTTTGAGGGGAAGTCCTTGCTCTGGGCTGTTCTTGGCAACTCAGGCAGGTCTGAAGGAGAAGGTCAAGGACCAAAAGGGAAGGAGAAAGAGTGGCAGGAGGCACTACACAGGTAACAATTTTGCCTATTAAATAATTCAGCTAGGACATGGGTCTGAATGCTTCTTATTAATGACTCACTGGGGATTTAACAAATGGCTCAATTAACGAAATCCAAACCATCTGGGTCTTTAGCCAATTATCCTTTCCCTCCCTTTCCTGATTTCTCAACCACTACATGGCTCTGGCTTTCTGTTCAAGTAGAAAATATTCTAAAATCACTTCCCTGGCACTCAGAGTATGAACTTGGTAAATATGGTATACAACCTAAGTTTCACTGCTTTAAATTATGCAATCTGATATTTTCAGCAAGGTGTGTGTGGAACAGGCAGGTGCAGGAGATGGGAAAGTAGTGGCTAACACAGCGATGGATCCTGCACTGGGGACCCCACCCAGGGGACTTCAGGGGGGTTTCCACGGCACTGAGAGCCAATAGATCATGCTGCTGATGAAGCAAGATTAAGGCAAACTCACCATAGCCATCACGTGTGACAGGCTGACTCCGAGGTAAGCAGTAAATAGGGCTAAAAAAAAGGGGAGGGAGCAACAATACTTAGTAGGTGTACTTTTCATTATAGGAAATGTACATTTTCATTTTGCCAGCTAGCTCTCAGCACCCTGGTTACAAGCATGAGCTTACAGTTGGCAGTTCTGGGTTCAAATCCAGACTCTACTGCTTAGGAGCTTTGTGGCCTTCATTCTAAGCCTCCACCTCCTCACCTGCACCATAGAGGTAACAGAAATTTCTCATGGGGTTGGTGTCATCATGAAAGGAGTAATACTTGGGTTTAGCATGCAATGAGAAGTACTCAGTAAAGGTAGCTTTTCTGTGGTTACTATTTCACTGCTATTATCACTGATCCCTAAGGAAAAGGCCTTCCATGGCAAATAAGCTTCCCTGTTGTTTTATCTGAACATAACTGAATTAAAATGAAATGTAGGGGGGCACCAGGGTGGCTCAGCTGGTTGAGCATCTGACTGTTGATTTCAGCTCAGGTCACATTCTCAGGGTCATGACATTGAGCCCTGTGTCAGGCTCCACACTTAGCAGGGAATCTGCTTGAGATTCTCTCTCTCTCTTTCTCTCCCCCTCTGCCCCTCCCTCACTCACTCTATTGCTGTCTAAAATAAATACAATCTTTGAAGAAATTGAAACCTATGAATGTTTCTTGAGATAGCATGGATTCTGTACAACCACACTATATGCGTCTAGGATTGTCCTATTAATGACTAGAATTCACAGTCATTAAAAAAAATAATGGTATAAAAAAAATAAAGACAGAGTAATTCAGCAATCAGCAGGACTGACCACAAACTTGGGATTTCACCCCATAATAACATCGTTCCCAATACTGTTAATGTTGGCATACAGGCCAATGAATTAGTATGTTATGCTTTTCCTTAACTCTGAGTGAGCACAAATCTTAAAGCGGTAATTTGAGTCTATGTGTGACCGTTGGTGGTAAAACAACAAAAACAAAGATCTCAAGTAGCTAATCATCAATTGAAGAGAGGGCTCAAGGCAGCCCAGGGAAGCTGGGGTTTCAGAAAGACAGGCTGCAGAATAATCTTGGTGCACTGGCCAGACAGGCCCCTGGGGCAGCGCTGGCCCCGTGAGACCAGCCCACCACCTAGACCTCCTGGGCCTGAGAAGCCACCTGAGCCACCTCGGTGGGGGGTAGTGGGGGGTGGTGGGGGGAAGGGGGAGGAGGGACTCTGTGAGGCTCATTTACTTTACCACAGACGTCCATTCCTTCGCCAATCTTTGGTCTTTTTATCCCAGTGTTTTTGTTCAACAGCATACCTAATTCTTTCACATCTGAATTGTCTCATGCTCGTGGGAAAGGCTTGTCTCAGAAACAGCCTGGGCTTCAAACCCCAGCTCTGGTCATTTTACTGTACAACAAATCACTGAACTTTGGCACTCAGTATTGTCCTTTGTAAAAGGGCAGCTTGAAGATGCGCTTTCCAGGGAGGCGGTGAACCTCAAATGCAATCCTGTATTTCCACCAACACTGGCTGCCAACCCATCCCGGTTGGGGGGACCCCGATGCTGCTCTGAGCAGAAGTGCGCAGGGGCGTGGGTTGGAAGAGCTTCTTTGTTTGATTTGATAATTTCATTCCTTTTTCCCCCATTTCCTTCCTTCCTTTCTTAACAAATATTCACCAGCCCTAGGATAAGCACCTGCTGTCTTGGGTACCTGCTCTTCTACGAGACCTCCCCTGAGCACATGAGACCTTATCACCATTCCTCTCCTTTTCTTTTTTCTTTTTCTTTCTTTCTTTATTTGTTTATTTATTCATTCATTCATGAGAGACACACAGAGGGAGGCAGAGACACAGGCAGAGGGAGAAGCAGGTTCCCTGTGGAGAGCCCGAAGCGGGACTCGATCCCAGGACTCCAGGATCACGACCTGAGCCAAAGGCAGACGCTCACCCCCTGAGCCACCCGGGTGCCCCATTCCTCTCCCTTTCACAAGGATTGCACTTGAAAGGTCCAGCAGTAGCTCTGGTCTCTTCCTGCTATGCTGTTTCCAAGCTGTCTCCAATTGCAAGTTGCTTTTCTCTCCATAGTAAGAGCATCAGACAGTCTAACAGTAGCTGCGCATCAATTAAGGCTTGCTGAGTGGGACTGGGAAAACCTCACGGGAGAGGTGCAAGTCTGCAACACCACAGTGTGTAGGTGATGACTCTGATGGCACCCTGGGCAGTGAGGGGCAGAAAGGCCCTGAGTGCCGAGTGGACAGTGTCCATCTCAGCAGAACACCAGGTGTGAGTCCTACTATGACAACCCCAGCATTAAAGAGAGACAAAATATCAGGATGGCTCAGTCACCCAACCCCCCCTCTTGATTTCAAATTTATTTATTTATTTATTTATTGTAAGTCTTTTTATTTATTTATGATAGTCACAGAGAGAGAGAGAGAGGCAGAGACATAGGCAGAGGGAGAAGCAGGCTCCATGCACCGGGAGCCCGAAGTGGGATTCGATCCCGGGTCTCCAGGATCACGCCCTGGGCCAAAGGCAGACGCCAAACCGCTGCGCCACCCAGGGATCCCTTTTTTTTAAATTCATTTTTTTGTAAGTCTTTTTATTTATTTATGATAGCCCCTCTTGATTTCAGCTCAGGTCATGGTCTCAGGGTCATGAGATCAAGCCCCACCTGAGGCTCGCGCGGAACCTGCTTGAGATTCTCCCCCCCCCAAATATAAACAAACAAACAAACAAACAAACAAATAAATAAATAAATAAAGACAAAATGTGTCTATAGTTTGCATTGACAAAATAACAAAGTTAGGACTCCCCTGTTGGGCAGTTTCCGGTTTGGAGGCAGGGAAGGCGGCCCTGCCAGGCTCCCTTAGTCTTTCCTGGGGCCTCTTCCTGATAATACCACAGTGAAGTTGTGAAGGGCAACTCTGTAATAAATGTGTGTTATTTATTTACCCCAGCTGATATAGTTGGTCTTTCGTTGGGTCGGGGGCAGGGTGATATGGGCAAGCCAGAACTTGCTGTGACATTTTGCGGGGGAGATTTGCTTTCCAAGGGGGGCCAGAGGTCCCTCTCAACACTTCGTATCTGTGGATGAGATGGACAGTGCCCAGCATGGACGGAACACGCACTCCCCATTGTCTGTGGAGGAGAAATCAGTATGGCCTCTGTGGGGGTGAGTGTGGCATCTCTCAAAATTCAAGTTGGCAGAGCTAGGGTTCTGGCCTCAGGGTCTGGGATCTCAGCTAACTCAGTATACAGCCCTAACCATCAGGCTACGCCAGTGAGGAAAATCTGACCTGTCCAAAGGAAGGTACGTGTGATAGGCAGAATGAGAAACCCACTAGCTTTCTAAATCTACATCACTTGAGGTTTGGTTTTACCTAAAGGCCTGGAGGCTGCCACAGGGGAGCAGAGTGGTGTAGTGTGTGGAATTCAGAGGTTCTTAGCAAATGTGGATTCTGGCTTGCATTTACCCTAATTGACCGGGTCCCCTTCAACACATCACTTTATCTCTCTAGCCTCAGAACTCCAACAGTAAAACGAGGGGCATGGACTGGAGACCTCTAGAACCTCTTCTAGCTCTGACAGGCTGAGTCTGGCTAGAACATAGGGGTCAGAAGGGATGAACACAGTGGTTTGGAAAATGTGGTTCCCAAGACCAACAGCATCAAGCACCATCTGGCCCTCGTTAGAAATGCCAACTCCTCTCCTACCTCTAAGGAGGAATCGGGGGCTGGGAGGTGGGGCGGGCAGCCATCTGTGTTTTAACAAGCCTTCCAGTTGATTCTGACACTCCCTGAAGTGTGTGAGAAAAGCTGGATTCGTGTGATTCTCCAAGGGCCACATGGAGTCCTACCTGACTCAGCAGGAGAAATGGCTCTGTATTTAGCTTGAGTCATTTCCATTTTTGTTTCTTGGGTCAAACGATTAGTATGAAGAACATAGGATGAGTCAAGTTTCTATCCCCCAACACGTACATATGGCAAAATAGTTAACACGACTTGACAGGTTCTCCCGTCTTCACGACAACCAATAAGGAGGGCACAGCGGAGCCTAATCCTCCCAGAGAGGGGATGCCACTTGCCCTGTTCACACCTGCAGGCAGCCGGGGGCCCTCACTGGAACCTGGCCCCAGTGTCTCACATAGTCCCTTTTTACTGTATGGACTGATCCCACAGTTATGAGCGACCCTCCTTCCAATGCACAATATACGTACCGCAGGCAAGAGCCAGAATGTGAGTTTGCCAGGTGAGCGCCACGAACATTCCTCCAATTGCAATGCAGGCCAGAGAGCTGTTGAAACCCCAGAGCCCAAGGTAGATGTTCTCAAACGGCTCTGAAAGACTGAGTCCTATTAAGGAAGACAGGTGGGGTCAGCGCTGTGCATCAAAGGCAGGATGCTGTGGTAGGAGGCCGGGGGTGGGGGAGCACCCATGAACTCCCATTGGTCCCCTGGAAGTAGAGCTCTCCAGGAAGGTCCAGAGCATGGAAGATGCCTGCGGAGGAGGTGCTGGGTACTTGGGCCTGAGCCCTCAGCTTACCCGCTGCTATCCCCAGCAGTGATCCGATGGTGGCGTGCAGGCACATGAGTGGGGAGGAGAGCAGGAGGGCGCACAGGAAAATGCCCCCTGTCCACGGGTTATCACAGCCATAGATCTGCCCGACGCCCACAGGCAGGGATTTCAGTAACTGCAAAGCCATTCAGAAAACGAGGTCATTAAAACAACTGAACAGAAACCCACAGGACGCTCACAGTCACGTACAATGCAACGTCAGAGTTAGCACATCTCATCTTTCGAGACCAGTGTTACTAAATTTTTAGTCTCTGTCTCGTTACAGAAATCTCATTCTTCTGCTTGATCCCAAGAGATACACAGGCCCTTCCCCGGCGGATGCTGAGCATGCATGCCTCCTTGGCACGGCCACTAACTCAGGGGCTCTGCTGCTGGCACTGACACTTGGCCTCGGTCGCTGATAAGCCCTCAGGTGGAACCACTGCTGCCCCCACCTCACCTGCCGTGTCCCCCGGTGAGGACAGCAGGGACCACAGTTTACACTTCCAGTTCTTTTTTTTTTTTAATTTTTTTTTTATTTATTTACGATAGTCATACAGAGAGAGAGAGAGAGAGAGGCAGAGGACACAGGCAGAGGGAGAAGCAGGCTCCATGCACCGGGAGCCCGACGTGGGACTCGATCCCGGGTCTCCAGGATCGCGCCCTGGGCCAAAGGCAGGCGCCAAACCGCTGCGCCACCCAGGGATCCCCTACACTTCCAGTTCTTAACTGTCCATTAGGCCTCAGGCTAATGCATCAATGCCACCATGGTCAACAGAAGTATTATTACTCCCATGCAACTGGGCTGTTAAGGCCAAAGACCCAGAGTTGGGTTATCTTTTCCACAATTCAGAAGCAATTATTGCGGACGCCTGGGTGGCTGAGTTGGTTAAGCATCGGCCTTCAGCAGATCAGGTCATGATCTCAGAGTCCTGGGATCTAGCCCCACATCAGGCTCCTGGCTCAACGAGGAGTCTGCTTCTCCCTCTGCTTCTCCCTCTCTCCCCATGCTCGTGCTCTCTTTTGCTTGTGCTCGCTCTCTCTCTCTCAAATAAATAAAATCTTTTTTTTAAACGAGCAATTATTGGCAAGTTCATGAATCAGTACCCTATTTATACTTCCGCTGTTACAGAGAATATGTATTCATTTCAACCACTATATCCTTAGCTTACTCTGGTTACCAGCAACTGCCAATTAGTCCTCAAAACACAAAAATACATGTAAATGTCACTAATGCTGGTGAGGCCTGAATTCAGCTAATGTGTTCACAGACTGACAGTTTTCAGGAAAGTAGAGGGTTTGATTTAAGCTAACACCTGGTAATGCTTTCTAAGGACACTTCCGGTAAGGCCAGGCTAGGCATAATTAGCCATGTTAGCTTGACCAAGTTCATTTACTGAAAGACGTCTTCCTCGCCCCAGGTCACATGTACACCTTTTGAGCGACCATGGGGAGGCAATGACTCTGCTACGGGGGGGCCCTGCTTTGGCACGAAAACTTTCCTGGGGCCCCTGGGTGGCTCACTGGTTGAGTGGCTCAGGGAGTGATCCCAGGGTCCTGAGATCGAGTCTTGTATCAGGTCCCGGCAGGGAGCTTGATTTTCCCTCTGCCTGTGTCTCTGCCTCTCTCTCTGTGTCGCTCATGAGTGAATAAATAATAATGTCTTTAAAAAAAAAAGAATTATCCTCTCCCTCATGCATTAGGCTGCACTAACACTGGCTTCCAATCCTGCCTCCGTCCTTGCTCAGAGCACAGGATCACGCTGTGAGTTTGGTTCTATCCTAAAGTGAATCCTGAATTCTGCAGCTCACACTGGATCTTCATGTCTACACAAGATCATTGCTCTTTTCTCTACAGCAAGGAACTTGACACGGTACAGACTGCATAGGCTTTCACTCAGAATCGACTGCAGAACTATCCCTCGTGTGGCCAGGAAAACGGGGGAGTCAAGCGAGATGGGAGAGACATGTGCTGATGTTGGGGTGGTAGTTCAGAATGAGAAGAGGAAGACCGGGATCCCTGGGTGGCGCAGCGGTTTGGCGCCTGCCTTTGGCCCAGGGCGCGATCCTGGAGACCCGGGATCGAATCCCACGTCGGGCTCCCGGTGCATGGAGCCTGCTCCTCCCTCTGCCTGTGTCTCTGCCTCTCTCTCTCTCTGTGTGACTATCATAAATAAATAAAAATTAAAAAAAAAAAGAGAAGAGGAAGACCCCCCACTTCCACAGATCAGCACTGTCCAACATAACTTTCCTGATGGGGGAATATTCCCTATGGGGCTACTAAGCACCTGAAATGTGCCTAGTATAAGGGTAAGAAACTGGATTTTTAATTTTATTTTTTATTTAATTTTATTTTTTTAAAATATTTTATTTATTTATTCAGGAGAGACACAGAGAGACAGAGGGAGAAGCAGGCTCCATGCGGGGACCCTGATGCGGGACTCAATCCCAGGCCCTGGGGATCGTGCCCTGGGGCCGAAGGGAGGCACCCAACCACTGAGCCACCCAGGCATCCCTGGATTTTTAATTTTATTTCATTATAATGAATTTCACATTAAAATTAAATAAGCTATGTGGGGCTAATAGCTACTATATTGGACAGGGCAGTTTTAAATAGATCAATTAGCATTATTTATGATATTATTTTTCATGGGTAGTTTGAACAAACATTTGACTTTCTTTCTGAGTTATTTCCAAATGCTCCCATTTATTTTCTGGGCAAGAAGGTAAAGAAAAGCCTGCCTGAGCCCCTCACATGTTTTGATGGCTCAGCAGAGAAGACAGCAAAAAGGCGTTTCATGAGCTAGTAGTGCAGAAAACCAGTCTTTTGCACATCAAAAAAGGTGTGTTTTGTTTGTTTTCTCTGCCTTTAAGTGTTCTCTTGTTTTAAACAGTTATTTAATAACTCTTCAACAACTCTTCAACAGAGTTATTAAATAAACACCCCAGGAAGAGTGCGACCTGGGTTAAGCAGGTCTTTAAAACAGCACTCTCTCTGTGCACATCGGTAAGGAGATGGATACAATACATGCTGTGGTAGTGGTTCTCAAACTCTGGCCCCCATTACCATTATTTGGGGAGCTTGTTAACACAGGTTCTTAGGTGCCCCCCTCAGAGATTATGATACAGGGAGTCTGAGATGAAGCCTGTATCATATTTAAAAACAATGATTCTGATGGCTACCAATGCTTGAGCACCATGAATCACTGTACATACTCTATGAGATCTACCAAGAGAAAAAGCAGAATAGAGAGGTTCTGACATGAGATCTAACAGTAACCAGCCAGTTCTTTTGATCGGAGGAGGCAGGTCATGGAGGCCTTAACTCCACACTAGAGGCCCTTCCTCAAGGGCTGGGCCCCATCACATCCACCCAAAGAAGGGACAATTTTGAAACAGCCTTTGATTTCCAGTGGAGCTATACTCTAGACCGAATTTTAGGAAAAGAGGGGGGAAGTTAGCTTTGAGCAGTCATTAAAAACAAACAAACAAAAAACAACCCTTACAACAAAAGAAAAAAGAGACAAAATAACAAACTCTTAAATACAGGGAACAAACTGGTGGCCACCACAGGGAGCTGAATGGGGAAATAGGGGAAGTAGGGGAAGGGGATTGAGGGTACGTGTATCTTGATGAGCAATGGGTAGAAGTGTTGAATCATTACATTGCACACCTGAAACTAATGTAACACTATAGGTTAACTATATTTCAATAATAGTAATAAGAAACAAAGCCTTAGAACCCACAGCCTTAGAGTAGAATGGGTGAGAGGGCAAGATGGAGGCAGTAAAGCCATCCTAGAGCTGAGTCTCCATAAGGCTCTGATGCCCAAGAACAATTAACCAAGGGGACACTGGGTGTCTTCGAGTCAGGGAGGAATGTGAGAGGACAGAGTACCTTACCTGCAGGGCACTGAGGTCAGGCCATGTGACATTGGGAACCGCGGTCACGGGTTTGAACAATTTGCTTGGGAAGAACAGGTTGTAATGTCCCGTCGCCGAGAGGTACATTGACAACGCCATGTTGAAGGGCAGAGTGAAGACAGGGAGGTCCCATTTGCAGAACAAGGAGTTCAAGGCGCTTGAGAAAATTGGGCTAATGACAACGACCACAGAACAGAATGGAAGAACATGCATGTGACAAGTCAGTTGACAAACTGAATCTCTACACCCTGGAGGGGCTTTCTTTCATGGGCACAATACTAATGTGCTGTTTCAGCAAACTTTTCACGGGAGGACAAGAAAAAGAGAACCCCAAACTGAAACAAAAAAAACCAAACACACATGGAATAAATCCTATCAGAGAAGAATTTTTACATAAAGTCAAAAATCAACTCGTAGCTCATCTGGCTTTTGAAAAATTACACTCTGGGATCGCTCACAGTAACTTAGGAAATCTAGGTTTTGGAAATATTTTTCTAGTATTTTAGATGTAAAGTAAAATACTCTGCACCCAGTGGGAGCCCCCTTCTCCCATGTAACCTACTTGATCATGTGCCCGTCCTCCCCACCAGGGGCAGCCACCATCTTGAATTTCTGTATGATCTTCATGAGCCTTTAGCATACTGTTTTTGAAAAAGAGAAACAGTTGTCCAAGGGAGGATGTAAGGTGGTGTGGGCGGGAGGAAAAATATCTTAAACTCAGGGCGGGGCGGGGGTGGGGGTGGGGGTGGGAAGAACAGCTTTAAGTCCAGAGCCGTTGGTGAACTGTGTGACCTTTGGCAAGGAGCTACTCCTCCATTTCCTTGTCTGTAGCCTGGGGGACTGGATTAGATTAGATGGTCTCTGGACCCCTTTTGTACTCTCACTTGTTGGCCCATCATGAAGGTCAGAGCCCCAGATTATGGGAGGGGGTGTGGTGAGCACCTGGAGGTGATCCACCTCCTGTCCTTGAGGTTGTTCTTCAGAACTGGTAAGAAATTACTTCCTGGGCAGCTTGGCTCTCCCAGCAGGCTCTATCCCACACCGCTGTGGGTGCAGCCAGGGCAGGTGGCCCTGCAGACACTATGCAGAGTGGGCTACCCTTCTCATCTGGGTGGATATTCGTGATTTATATTCTAAATGTGCCATCGTAAGAAGGAAATCTGTGCTTCCAAAAAACAAACAAACAAAAAGAGCATTTAGCTAGTTTGAAGGATTTAGGGTTAAAAAAAAAAAGGAACCGAATTCCGTGAAGAAATTTTTTTGAAGGTAGCAGGGGCAGGTGGGTAAGGAGAGTTCATGGAGGCATACATGGTGGTTCTCAAAGTGTAGTCCCTGGATGAGCCGTACCACCTGAGAACTAGTTAGAGATGCAAATTCTTAGGCTTCACCCAGATGGACAGAATCAGAAGCCCTGGGGCGGGGAGCAGAGGTCGTGTTTACCCAAGCCCTGCTGGGGATTCGTTAGTGTGCAGGTTTGAGGACCATGGATGTAGGGCCTGACTCTCAAATTTAGTTGTCCTTTAGAAACCCCCAGAAGCCTTAAAACTCCCAGTGCCCAGGTAACACCCCAGACCAATTACATCAGAATCTGAGAGGAAGGGGGGACGAGGTGTGTGTTGAGGGTCACATGCATCAGTGTGTTTGGATGCTTCCTGTTTCTAACAGATGTAACCCGAATCTAAGTTAAAAAAAAATTTTTTTTTCTAAACATTGCTATACACAGATAACATAAAATTTACCATTTTAACCAACCTAAGGCCTGCAGTTCACTCACATTCAGTTCATTCACGTTGTTGTATAACCACCACTACTGTCCATTTGTGAAACATTTTTCATCTTGCAAAACTGAAACTCTGTACCCATTAAACAGTAACTCCCCATTCCCTCCCCCTACTATGAATTTTCTTTTTTTTTTAGAGGTATTTTGAAAACCAGGCACAACTTACCAAGTCATGGACATGGCAGACACAGGTAATAACAGCCACCAGAAATAATTGCCCTTGTCTGAAAAGACAGCCATGAGTATTCCCAGCAGGGTGGCATTATAGCCGTGGAGTCCTGCGGCGATGGCTGACCTGTGGGCGAGAGGCACAGGGGGGACGCATTTTGGGTGGGCGGGGGCCGGACTTGCCCAGAAATGGTGCTTGCAATTTTCAGATCATGGTCACATTAGAAAATGAGGTTATGCTTAGAAATTTATTTCCAAGTCTATAAAAGCCAAACACTAATAAAATCTTGGAAAAATGAAATATAGCTAGATAAAGGTAAAATACAAATGTGCTTCTAGAACAACCCCCTACAGAGGTGTCACAGTGAGACAGGATTCTCGCATCCAGGTGCAGAAAGGGAGATGAGCAAGGCAGCCTGTTCTGCTTTCTTTAGCCTTTCCTTCAGGAAGTTGTTACCTCTGTGTCTTAGGGGGCTTGATCTGAATAGAGCTCTTAGAGGAAACTGGGTTCTAAGTCTGACATTCTTGGTGAGAGGTGTAAGATTGTTGAATTGCAAACTCCCTTTTGTAGTATTTGTGACCTTAAAAAAACGACTCTTCCAACTGAGGATCCACTTTCATCTTCCTGCACTTCCACTCTGTGCTCTCCAAATACACGTTTCCAAGTTATTGCAAAGGAAAACAAGTACTTTTACTGGGCAGAGTTATTCCACTTATGTGCATATCTAGCACCGAATTCATTCTTGGGTTCCTTTTCGCTTCTCAGCATTTAACCTCACTTCTGAAGGTGGTCCTGTTGGTAAATTTCTACTCCCGGCCAAAATGGTTCCCAGTTTGTAACTGGGAACTAGGAGCCCCAAGTGAGAAATGAAACAACTTGTGCAGAATAAGCCCCAAGGCTGACAAGCCGGGCTCCCCGAGGCCCTATTAATCGGCAACATCTCCACCAGGAAGGGCTGGAGTTTCAAAGATGAAGTCAGCGAGGCCACGAGGTGCAAAGCTGGGTGAGGTCAGGTGCAGGGTCTGCGGGGGGTGGTGGTGGTGGTGGTGGTGACAGAGCCAGGGGCCAGGCTATAGAGGGGGTGCAGGTGGCGTGAGAGCTTCAGTTGGGGCACGAGGCACCAGCCCAACAGCAAGAAGGTGCCACTCATTCATCTGGGTGAGAGCATTAGCGGTGGGGCTCTCTGTCCAGTGTCCTTTGTCTCCCTTAACGAATCTTTTGGGACATGTAGGAAGTGATGGAATGTTTACTGGTTTAACCCTGTAAGTGATACTCTCTTCTAGAATTTGGGAATACACACGAGGACAGCAGACATCGAGGCAAAGACTCGCTTTCTCAACAAGGGACTTGCAGATTTTAAGGCAGACTGCCTGTGCTTTCATGGCAATGTCTGCAAGTTGTGGAGCACTATGGCTTAAAAACAACAGAAAGAGATATATTCACTTACAACAGGATTGCTATTTTAATGCAGGCCTTTAGGCCTGAGGAAGGTAAAAGAGACTTGAAAGCCAACACATGTAAATATGGCTTGCCTTCTAAATAATACCTGGTAGGGAGAGTGGGTCATTTTTTGCTGGAACAAAATAATGAAGGGATATTTGATATGGCACGATGCTGGACCACATCTCCAAACTGGATGGGCTGTTTCCTGACGTGTACTGGAATTGGATTTAACCTAATCTACGGACAACACATCAGGCTCCTTGGACCTGATGGGAAAGTGGAACGTTCTCGAAGCTCTAAATGCCACAGGAGCTGAGTTGTGTAATGACCACCCACTGGTGCTCATGCGTTGATTCTGGACACCTCGAAGACCAGCAGCCTCCCTGATTAAACCAGAAAGTCAGGAGCTGTCTAACCCTGTGGTGGGAGTCAGCATTTTACTTCTTCAACAACAGATCAATTTATAAAGTAGGTGCTATTTTTAATCCAGCACATAGTTCAGAAGACACGCTAATGCTTCTTAAATCATAACTGGGAATTTGATTATTCACTTTTCCAGAAACCGAGCTAACATTTGCACCATCTATAAAGAATGGTTCACTAAACTGAGCATGGAAACAAAATAGGATGGGATTGGTGAGATTTTTTTACACCACCAAGACTTTTCAAGTTCTCATACACATGGGGCTCCTGGGCAGCTCAGTTGGTTAAGCATCTGCCTTTGGCTCTGGGTCCTGGGATTCAGTCTCGAGTTGGGCACCCTGCTCAGTAGGGAGTCTCCTTCTCCCTCTGCCTCCTCCCCCTGCTTGTGCTCTCTTTCTCTCTCAAATAAATAAATAAAATCTAAAAAAATAAAAAATAAAAAGGACTCCTATGCATTCTTGCCCAAACAAACAAAACGCTGACGATAAATAATTGAGTAATCATTGCAGAAGAATGATCTAGGGAATGGTTAAAGAGAAACAATAAGGAATGTAAGTAATGCCCTGACCTCTGACTGAACACAAATACCAGGTCCTGTGGAATAAAGGGTAGGCTTTTCTGGGAAGGGTGGGGCTTTATCACCGATGCCCAAAGTCACTGACTGGTTCCTGTGTTCTCAGAAGCAGGAAGAGCAGGCTTGGACGGATGCACCTACCTGTCCTGGGCAAGCAACAGCGCCGTCAGGGTGGACACCACCGTTCCCACACAGCCATTGAGAGCCCACCAGGGATTCTGGACCAGCAGTCCCACCAGAATCAGGATTCCACTGATGGGGTTGCTGACGAACACCACTTGGGATATGCCCCGAAGAACCCAATCAACGAACTGGAGCACCTGTGGTTTGTCTGGAAGAGATGAGATGGGCAGAGTTAAGGATGTGACAAGGCAAGGTGCTCCTTTCCGTGCCTGATGCCCACCCTGAATAAAATCATCAAAATCCTCTCTGCTAAGGGTGGAACTAATTTTTGATATTCCTGGAAGCTTTTTCCCGCTGAGCCATTTCCCCCTTAATGGTACCCAGATCCCTGAAAGCCTCCAGTTTCTTCATTCTCAGCCCACCCTGCTCTTACCAGAATCTCCACTGCAGAAAGCACTGAATGCACTTATTTACCATGCTCAGAGGTACAGACTCTAAAGCTAAAGAAGTAAATTAGCAACAGTAAAACTTCAGCTTTTAAGGGCTGAAACTATGGGATGGAGCCAGGTGTCTTCCTCTAAATAGGAGTAGGGCCCTGGCCCTAAGCACTATCTCCATAAAAAAAAAATATTTGAAGAGGCTTGCATGCTAAATGATACAAAGTTAGGGGTGCCGGCTGGCTCAGCAAAGCACATGACGCTTGATCTCGGGATTGTAAATTCAAGCCCCATGTCGTGTATTGAGATTACTTAAAAATAAAATCTTGGGGCACCTGAGTGGTTCAGTCAGTTAAGCATCTGACTCTTCCCTTTGGCTCAGGTCCTATTCTCAGAGTCCTGGGTTTGAGCCCTGCATCAGGCTTCGTGCTCAGCAGGGAGTCTGCTTTGAGAGTCTCTCTCTTTCTTCAGCCTTCTCCCTCCCACTCATGTGCTCTCTCTCCTTCTCTCAAATAAATAAATCTTAAGGAAAAAAAGAGTAAAATCTTAAAAAAAAAAAGAAGAAGATAAAAAGTTAAAAACTGGAGAGGGGGAGAGGGGGAGATAGAAGGCAGGAGACTATAATGAAAGGATCATTTCCCCCAAATCTACTTCTCCCATCTCTCCAAAAGGATGGAAGCATAAATACCTTTGAGCCAGCTGGCAAATTCTCTCATATCACCGGTGATGTAGCCAAGTGCCTTGGGGAGGTACCTTCTTCTTGGTAAAATCTGATTTTCACCCTGGTCCATTTTAACCATAGTGGGACTGTCCTCCATGGTTATCTCTTCCTCTGGCTCCTTGAGGAAAGGACAGAGCTCATAAACATCCTAATGCAGAACACTTGAGACTGGCCAGCACTGGGCCTGGTTGCAGCAGCCACAGAGGATGAGTTTAAAAGCACTTCATTTGTATCATAACATTCTAGGGGACTAAGAAAGCACCCAGCTCCCCTTGCAACGTTGCCGTGGAGATTATTACCCAAATCCAAATCCCATACTACTTTTTTCATTACCGTCTTTATTGCTACCATGAGAAGGTTCTGGCCTTGGGTTTCATAAGGTCCATTTTCTAGTCCAACAGATCTTCACTGAGCACCTACAACCTGCACTCAAAGAGCTCAGTCTGGCGGAAAAGACTGAAAAATACTTAATTTTAACATACTGAGTCAAATAATAATACAGGAAGAGAGCTAAGACCAAGTACTTAAGCTTCATGCTGTCAGCTGAAGGAGCCCGGTGTCAGGTTACAAAATGGTGCTCACGAATGCAGACCAAGCAGCTCCTTCCCAGCGTGAGCAGCCTTTTCTTAAAGTTAAGTTTTTAATTTTAATTTGAATATAATTAACATACAGTGTTATATTAGTTTCAGGTGTACGATATGACAATTCAACAATTCTAGACATGCTCAGTGCTCATCATGATAAGTGGACTCTTAATCCCCTCTACCCATTTCACCCATCCTCCCACCCACCTCCTCTATGGCAACCGTCATCTTGTGCTCTGCAGTTAGTCTGCTTTTGGATTGTGTCTTTTTCTTTCCTTTGTTTTGTTTCTTAAATTCCATATATGAGTGAAACCATATGGTATTTGTCTTTCTCTGACTTATTTCACTTAGCATTACACTCTCTAGCTCTATCTTGTTGCAAATGGCAAGATTTCATTCCTTTTTATGGCTGAGTAATATTCCATTGTATATTTCCTTCATCTTCTTTATCCATTCATCTATTGATGGACACTTGGGCTGCTTCCATAATTCACTCTTGTAAATAATGCTGCAACAAACATACGAGTTCATATGTCCTTTCAGATTAGTGTTTTTGTATTCTTTGGGTAAATACCAAGTAGTGCAATTACTGGATCATAGGGTAGCTCTATTTTTAAATTTTTTTGAGGAACCTCCATACTATTTTCCACAATGGCTGCACCAATTTGCATTCCCACCAACAGTGCATGGGGGTTCCTTTTCCCCAGCATCCTCACCAACACTTTTTTTTTTTTTTGATTTTCATTGTGGCCTTTCTGACAGGTGTGAGGTGATACGTCATTGCGGTTCTGATTTGCATTTCCCTGATGATGAGTGATGTTCAGCATCTTTTCATGTGTCTGCTGGCCATCTGGATGTCTTCTTGGGAGAGATGTCTGTTCATGTCTTCTCTCCATATTGTTAAAACGTATTATTTATTTTGGGAGGGGGTGTTGAATTGTATAAATTCCTTATCCATCTTGGATACTGACCTTTTATCAGACGTGTCATTTGCAAATATCTTCTCCTGTTCCGTCTGTTGTCTTTAGTTTTGTTGCTTGTTTCTTTGCTGGGCAGAAGCTTTTTTATTTTGATGTAGTCTCAGTAGTTGATTTTTGCTTTTATTTCCCTGGCCTCAGGAAATATCTAAAAATGTCAATGTCAGAGAAATTCCTGCCTGTGCTCTCTTCTAGGAATTTTTTAAAAATATTTATTTATTTATTTATTTATTTATTTATTTATTTATTTATTTATTCATTTATTCATGATAGACATAGAGAGAGAGAGAGGCAGAGACACAGGCAGAGGGAGAAGCAGGCTCCACGGTGGGAGCCCGACGTGGGACTCGATCCCGGGACTCCAGGATCACGCCCTGGGCCAAAGGCAGGCGCTAAAACGCTGGGCCACCCAGGGATCCCCTCTTCTAGGAATTTTATGGTTTCAGGTCTCATATTCAGGTCTTTAATCCATTTTGAGTTTACTTTTGTGTATGGTGTAAGCAAGTGGTTCGCTTTCATTCTTTTGCAGGTGGCTGACCAGTTTTCCCAACACCCTTTGTTGAAGAGATGATCTTTTCCTCGGGGCATATACTTGCCTCTTTTGTTGAAGATTAACTGACCATATCATTGTGGTTTTGTTTCTAGGCTTTCTATCCTGTTCCATTAATTTATGTGTCTGTTTTTGTGTCAGTATCATATTGTTTTGATTACTGCAGCTTTGTAGTATAACTTGAAATCTGGAGTTGTGATACCTCTGGCTTTGTTTTTCTTTTTCAAGATTGGTTTGCTATTCTAGGTCTTTAGTAGTTCCATACAAATTTTAATATTATTTGTTCCAGTTCTATGAAGAATGCTCTTGGTATTTTGATGCTGATTACATTAAATGTCTATATTGCTTTGGGTGGTATAAACATTTTAACAATATTTGTACTTCCAATCCATGGGCATGGAATATCTTTCCATGTGTTTGTATCATCTTCAATTTCTTCCATCAATGTTTCATAGTTTTCAGAGTCTAAGTCTTTTACCTCCTTGGTTAAGCTTATTTTTTGTTATTTTATTATTTTTGGTGCAATTGTAAATGGGATTTCCTTCTTTCTTAATTTCTCTTTCACTTGCTTCATTATTAGCATATAGAAATGCAACAGATTTCTGTACATTGATTTTATATCCTGGGATCTTACTAAATTCATTTATCTTCTAGCAGGTTTTTGGTGGAGTCCTCAAGGTTTTCTATATATAGTATCATATTACCTGCAAATAGTGAAAGTTTTACTTCTTCCTTACCAATTTGGATGCATTTTACTTCTTTTTGTGGTCTGTTGTGACTAGGAATTCCACTACTACGTTGAATGAAAGTGGTGAGAGTAAACATCCTGGTCTTGTTTCTGATCTTAGGGGGAAAGCTCTTAATTTTTCACTGAGAATGATGTAAGCTGTGAGTTTTTCATACATGGCCTTTATTATGTTGAGTTATGTTCTTCCTTAATCTATTTTGTTAAGAGTTTTTATCATGAATGGATGTTGTCCTTTGTCAAACACTTTTTCTGTATCTATTAAAATGATCATATATTTTTTATCCTTTCTCTTGCTGATGTGATGTATCATGTTGATCAATTTTTGAATATTGAAACATACTTGCATCCCAGGAATAAATCCCACTTGATTGTGGTGAATGTTTTTTTTTTTTTAATGTATTGTTGGATTTGGTTTGCTAATATTTTGTTGAGGACTTTTGCATCTATGTTCATCAGAGATATTGGTCTGTAGTTCTCTTTTTTGTAGTGTCTTTATCTGGTTTGGGTATTGGGGTAATGTGGGATTTACTCTTTGATTTCTTGGTCTTGTTTAATAGTATGTTATTTAATCTCTATGTATCTGTGCTCTCTCAAGATTTTTTCTTGTGATTGATTTCTAACTTCATAGTGTTGTGGTCAGAAAAAATGCATGGTATGTCTTCAGTCTTTGAGATTGAATCTTGTTGAGACTTGTTTTGTGGCATAATGGGTGATCTATTCTGGAGAATGTTCCATGTGTACTTTAAAAGAATGTGTATTCTGCTGTTTTAGGATGGAATGTTCTGACTATATCTGTTAAAATCCATCTGGTCCAATGTGTCATTCAATGCCACTGTTTCCTTATTGATTTTCTGTTTGGATGACCTGTCAATTCAGAGTAAGTGGGTTAGGTATTTGGGTGCTCCCATGTTGGATGCATAAATATTAACAATTGTTATATCTTCTTGTTGGATTGTTCCCTTTATTATTATATAGTATTCTTCTTTGTCTCTTGTTATCATCTTTGTTTTAAAGTTTATTTATCTGATATAAGTATTACTACCTTAGCTTTCTTTTCACATCCATTTGCATGACAAATACTTCTCCATCCCTTCACTTTCAATCTGTTCAGGTGTTTCTCGGTCTGAGGTAAGTCCTTTATAGGCAGCATATAGATGGGTCTTTTTTTTTTTTTAAATCCATTCTGCCACCCTATGTCTTTTGATTGAACAGTCCATTTACATTTAAAGTCATTATTGATAAATGTGTATTTATTGTCATTTTGTTCCTTGTTTTATGGTTGCTTTTGTAGTTCTCCTCTGTTCCTTTCTTCCTCTCTTCTCTCATGATTAGTTGGCTTTCCTTAGTGAAATTTTTAGGATTTCTATTTTTGCATATCTATTACTGGGTTTTGACTTGTGGTAACCACTCAGTTTGTATACAATATCTTCTGCATATAGCAGTTTGTATTAAATTGACAGTTACTTAAGTTTGAATGTGTTCTTTACTCCACTAGCTCCCATATTTTAGGTATATGGTGTAATACTTTACATCCTTTTATTCTGTGAGTCCTTGGACTGATTTTTACAGATATACTTATTTTTACTGCTTTTGTGCTTACTATTTTTCTTAATTCCTACTTATCGTCTTCCCTTTTCACTCACAGAGGCTCCTTTAATATTTTTTGTAGGGCTGGTGTAGTGGTCACGAATCTCTTTAACTTTTGTTTGTCTGGGAAGTTCTTTATCTCTCCTATTCTGAATGATAGCCTTGGTGGATAGAAGGTTGCAGATTTTTTCCCCTTTCAATACGTTGAATACACCATGCCACTCTCTACTGGCCTGCAAAGTTTTTGTTGAAAAATCAGCTGTAGCCTTATGAGATTTCCCTTGTATGTAAGTGTTTTCTTTTCTCTTGCTGCTTTTAAAATTCTCTCATTATCACAACTTTTTGCCATTTTAACTACTATGTGTTTTGGTAGGAACCTCCTTGGTTTGATTTTGTTGGGGGCTCTCTGTGCCTTCTAGATCTGGATTTCTGTTTCCTTCTCAAGATTTGGGAATTTTTCAGCTATTATTTCTTCAACAATTTTTGGCCCTCCTTTCTTTCTATTCTACCTCTGGATCCTGATAATATGGATGTTATTATGCTTCATGTTGTTGCTGAGTTCCCTAAATCTATTCTCATTTTGTGTATTTTTCCCCCTTTTACCTGCTTAGCTTGACTGATTTCCTTTACTCTGTCCTCTGGGTCACGGATTCATTCTTCTGCTTCTTCTAG